ACCATGTACAGCCCTGCCAGAGCCTTCTGGAGCACTACACCCAGGCTGTCCGTACCCCTGTACCCAGGATCATCATGACCATGCAAGCCATCCACCCAGTCTGCACCCGGGTCATGACCACCTACACCAGTGGTTCTCAACCTTCCTGATGCTGCGATCCTTTAATGCAGTTCCTCATGTTGTGGTGACCCCCCAACCACAAAATTATTTTCGTTGCTATTTCATAACTGTAATTTTGCTACTGGTATGAATCGGGTGACCCTTGAGAAAGGGTTGTTCAACCCCCAAAGGGGTTGTGATCCACAGGTTGAGAACTGCTGACCTACAGACACCCTGTACTTCTGACTGTAAACCATCCACATGGTCTGTACCCCAGTCATGACCACCTACACCACCTACCCAGACTGTCTGTACCCTTGGTTATGACCCTCTAAACCACAGAGACTGTCTACACCCCCATCTAAGTCATCCACACGGTCTGCACCCCAGTCATGACTACCTACACCATCTACCCAGACCTCTGGTTATGACTTTCTAAACCAGTGTTTTCCAAAGCCGGCAATCCCACTGGAACGAGGAAAGGGGCACTGCAGACTCCTGCCCTGGACCCTGGAAGACGGGCTGTCATGCAGGGGGGCTGGGTATTTCCTTCTTCTTTCCCTGAAAAGGGGGTAGCGGTCTGTCAAATACATTAGGGAGCCCCACACTGAGGACAGACTCAGCCCTGACTCCTAGTGACCTCGTGTGGGACAGAGCAGAGGGTTGTCCAGCCCGAGCCTTCTTCCTGGTCCTGGCCCACCTGAGGCCATTGCTGTAGCCACCACGCCGCTCCACCCCGGGGTCACTGACACCCTGCTTCCTCGAACACAAGGGCCTTTTTCAGGAATGGTTTCCCCATGGCATGTCCATCCAAAGACAATGAGGGACATCTCTGCATCCACCGGGCTCGCTCCTTGGCAACATTTCACAAGCACGTATGCACGCATGCACGCACGCGATCCAACTGGACAAGACCCCGGATGGCGGACCCTCTTTGGTCCAGCTTACTCCTGGTCAGCTTCCCCTCCGACCCCCTTCTCCTGGCAGGTCTGCTCAGACAGGCAGTGACAACGTAGACTCGCCATCAATTCCCATTTTACAGGCTCCGCCCTGAGGGCTCCACGGAGGACCTCCCACGATCGTTGGGGAAGCAAAACCCGACGGAGCCTACAGACCTTCACCCCCACGGCGCCCACACGCAGGCCAGTCCCCTAGACGGCAGAGCTCAGGCAGTCTGTCCTCGGGGATGCAGACACGGCTGCCCGGGCCACTGACCAGGAGACCTGGCCGTCTGCTCCTAACGACAGAGCCAGGGACGCTGCCTTGGGGCACAGGCCACACAGATGCCCACAGGGTGGCCGTGAGCCAGAACAGCCTTGATGCCAGCAGCCATGGTTCTCCTTGGTTGCAGTGACCCTGCCCTCTGGCATGGGCTTCTTTATGGACAGTGTGTTTGTTTCCATCAGTGAGCGGGGCTCCGGGGTGTGGCTGTACAGCCAGTGTGGATGGTGGAGGCCGGGGGTTGGTCCTTCACCAGAAGGTGGTCCAGGGGGCCCTGTGCTCATTCCATCGACTGAACCTCAGCCCTGGGACCCCCACTGAACTGCAAAGAGGTCCAGGAGTGACAGTCAGACAACAGCAGCAGCAGGAAAGAACCCCGGGACCCCTCCCATCCCCTTCTCTCTGAGCCTCGGGGGTGGCCCCTTTCAAACAGCAACTCCCACTAGAGGGTCTTGGGCGGTGGCTGAGGTCACAGGACGGGCGGACCACTGTGGGGAACAGAAGGATTTCTCTTAAGTTGTCTCCCCAAAATATATGCCAGACTTAGCTTGAAAATAATTGTTCACTAGGCAGCGAAAGTAGGTCAGAGGTTATTCTCCCTAACATCAGCCATCAAGAATGGATTGGGAGTCATTCTCACTGAGAGGTATCAGCTGTCTAGATCAAGCAGGCACCACTGCTTATCCCACAACAAATAGGGCCCATTCCTTTCTGTTATTGTTCCCTCGAAGCAGTGCCCATAGGCAAGCCCGGGACCACTCTAAGATGACTAAGCTTAGGCTACTATAGCACATTCACCCCTAGGTCATCCCCCTCCTATTGCTTGTATTGCCTATGTTACAACCCCTCTCTATGAAGTAGGTTGCTATCAGCTATCAGGGGGCTTGCATGCCTCCCAGGATAGTAATTGCCTGCTTTATTGTATGAAACACCAGAATGATCAAACCTGTTCAAGGATGAATTGTACTGCCCCTCTCTGTGATGCATGATGCTGTGATGTATCCCCCTAAAGTGATATGATGCGTGGTTAGCAATAAGTAAGGAGAGCTGCTTCTCAAGAGAGGCTGCTCCCAGGAAGTTGGCTGGCCGGAAGGTGGCTGGCAGAGGGCGGCTGAGGAAGGAGGGCTGCTTCCCGTGAGGGGCTGCTCCCATGAGGGCGGTGGACGAGAGGCTGTTCCCGCGAGGGAGGCGGCTCCTGCTCTGGCAGCCGGGTTCCCCCCACGAGGACCACCAAGCGGGGTGGAGGTGAGCAATGCTACCATGTAATATGTCTGAATGTATGAATGCATTATTGTATTCTCTCTCAGGCTCTTGATGACTTTAATAGAATACTTATATATCTCAACCGTACAATTGTACTTACTGAACTAGCAGAGAGTACTAGCGGTGGGGGCTGGTCCCCCACCTCCCCCAGTGCCATTTTAAATTTAATACTACGGACCACAGACACAGGAGGTCCCAGGAGGCCCCCAGTACCTCCCAGCTGGACAGACAGGTTTTCCTCTCGGGACGGGAAGCACAGGAAGGACCCCACTCAGAGAGCTGCTGGCTTTTCCTGGACTCCTGGGGAGCAGGGCAGGGCTTGGGCAGAGCCTGGAGCCCACCGGGAGAAGCCAGACTCCTTCTCAGACCTCACGGCTCTCCAGGAGGGTCCTCAGGGGTGGGAGACAGCCCTTGACCTGGATGCGGTTCTCAGAGCTCCCTCTGGTGGACGGCTGCCCCTCAGCTGTTAGCAGTGGACCAGGCTGTAGGAGTGGGGCTCGGCGGCAGCTACCATGAACATCTCACCTTGCTGGGTAACCCCCGCTGTACCCCAACCTTCTCCAGCCCCAGGTCACAGCCTAGACAGACCCCAGCCTTCTGTGACTCCAAGGATCACAGCCCAGTCACACCCTGATCTTCCCTGACCCCAGGTCACGGAGCACCCTGACTTTCCCCAACCTTGAATCTCAGCAGCAGTGGAGTGAGTGCTGGACAGAGAATGTGGGTGGACAGCCTCTTCCCCCATGTCCAGCCCAGTAAGCTGCCCTCTTACTTGGGGCCCCTATAGCATTCACCTGAGGAAGGGAGGGGGCTGGCCACAGGGCGACAGAGGACAACAGCCCAGGGACATGCTTGGCTGGGGAGGGGGGGGGTGTCCCAGGATCCCTGGAGGCACCAAACCCCTGCTTTCAACTCTCAGAGGGAGGCCTGGAAACCAGGCCTAGCAGGTGGGAGTGTGGCATCCAGTAGCCCCAGAGCAGCAAAAGCCGAAACTTCCCACGTCTCCACACGTGCACACATGCACATATGCACATGCATATACACGCATCGTGCACACAAGTTCACTACTGCTGCAGGTTTATTGTGCAAACCTCCCTTTGATGGCATGCTTACGGCTTATCAATGTTGTCCAACTCCAAGGGCAATGAAATATTTACAAACAAATTTCAGAAGGCTCACAAGCTGCACGTAGCAATGGCCCCTTGCTCTCGCGGCTTCATGGCTCCTCTGCTTTGTGCTAGCTGGAAGGATTGCCCCCTCTATTGAAGTTGTATTTTGCTTGTTGATCAGGGTGCTCCTGGAGTGGGTGCTGGTGCTGTCCACTAGCTGCACCTCTTGGAGGCACGAGGGCAGCTTGGTGTGTGGATAGGATTGTCTCCAGAGGTGTAGCAAGACAGGAATGATTTAAAAAAAAAAGAAAAAAGACAAACAGCCCCAAGAAGACGTGGTTTGTCTGTGTCCTGGGAGTACAAGTTTGGCACACTCAGCTCCTCTCCATCCTCTGAGATTCAGGGCTCTCGGTTTTTCCTCCGTATCTAGTCCCCCTGTCTTTCTGCTGCAGTAGTTTTCTCGGTGCATCTGTCTAGGCCCCCATTTGTTGATGGGAAGCCCAAGGAAACCTCTACTGAGATGGAGGGGTACCATGAGCGTGTTCACGGAAGCCCCTTTCCAGAGAGCTGGCGTGCCCCAAATAAAGGCTGGGAAGAGAGGCTGGTCCTCAACCTTAGGAAATTCTCTGCGTTTCTGGCATGAGGCCCCAGCTAACCCACGGAAAGTCACCGTGCTGTCCTTGTTAGCTCCTGTCCGTGATGGCTTGTCCGGGCTCACAGCATCCCTGTGGCCGTTGCTGGCATTTCTGTGGTTCCTGGGCCACGCCACCTCCAGAGGGCTCACCTGGAAGCATGTTCCCTTATCTGGGGCCCTCACACCTCTATCACTCACCTGCCGGGCTTCAATTTTGTTTTATTTCTGATGAGGGTTCCTGGGCATGGAATACCTCTTGTTTAGATGTTCCCAGGTCTGGGTGACTCACCTGGGTAAATAAGAGGCTGGGGCAGGGGGCAAGGAGTGGTGCAGAGAGCCGAGGGGCCTGAGACTGGCCACCTAGTGCAAGGTTCCATAAACGCAGCCCTTAGGAAGCTGGAGAGCCAACGTGCAAGGCTTTGTGGGTCTCATAACCTCCACCACAACCGCCCCACTCTTCCCGGGGCAGGAGAGCAGCCTCCGACGTGGGCCGGAGCCAACGGGGCGGCTTGTTCCAAGAAACACCATCACTGGTCTCGGTTTGCTGACCCCTCCCTGACTTAGGTCATCTGAAATTTCGTTTGTCCAAAGGATGTTCTGATCCCACCCACTGAAGCAGCCCACAGGGCAGCCGTGGCTGAGATTGGGACGTGGACATTGAAATAGACGAGTCATGCACACAGCAACGTCTTTATTGCCTGCTTCATTCTGAGGAAAACGGTTCTATCATCCTAGCTGGGGGGAGAGAGGAGACAGAGAGGTGTAAGGGGCACAAAGCCGTGAAGGTCCCTGCAGACAGAGGCAGAGCTAGACACACCTCGTTTGGCGTGAAGACAATGCTCAAGGGACAACAATGTCCCCCACTTGCTCAGGGCCTTGCTCCCAGCCCACCGTCCACCACCATGGGTGGGCAGGGCCCTGGGGGTAAAGGGAGCTCAGGCGGGCCGCAGCTTCATCTCCGACATCTTGTAGCTGTAGTTTAGCCCCTTCCCCAACTTCCAGTTGATGCCGTCGGCATAGCTCTCATGGGCCCCGCCGAGGTAGCGGCCATTCAGGTTCGACGCATGACAGCTGGTATACCACCAGGCTCCCTTGAATATCTCGGCACAGTTTCCTGAATTCATGTCATTGTCCTGGTCTTTGGTAGTAAAGGGCCGGTCCTTGTGAGACGACAGAGAATCGCCTGTCCCCAAGGAAAAGTGGGTGAGGGTGCTGCTGGAGAAATGCTGCCCTCAGGAAGTCCCCTAATGTCCACCCAGGTGGACACAGAGTCTGCCCAAGCCTGGCGGACACAGGAGCAAGGACACTGTCTCCTGCCCCCGGTCCAGGGCTCCTTCCTCACCTCACATGGTGTCCAGCGGCCCTGCTGCTCTCTGGGTCCCACCGAGACCCTGAAGACTATGTCCTCTGGAGAGCCCCCCTGCCGCCAGGCAGCCCTCTGCCCCGGGCTTCCTCTCTGCCAGGCTGTCAAGGGTGGGTGCCACCCCTGCCCCCCATGCACACCCTCTTGATTTCAGGAGGAGAACTTTAGGAGGACTGGGAACTTTGGCCTTTGCACCCCTTCACCAGCCTGGAGCCCCTGTCTCTGAGACGTTTCTGCCCCAGAGCCTCTTTCCCCTTGGGCAGTCATCATGCAGCTCGTCCTGGTCCCTGGCCCGCCCTGCGTCAGTTCAGCATGGCCCTCCTCCTGCTGCCTCAGCCCCCGGGCTCAGGCTCAGCTTGGTCTCCCTTGAACCCTATCCTCAGTCTCACCCTCGATCCTAGGGGGCTCCCCTGGGGGCCCCGAGGTGCCCACGAATGTGAGGGACATGGCTCTCACCAGCAAGCCTCCCCCCAGGAGTGCTGGGTGTGGCCGCTCAGGGTGACTCGCAGGGAGACAGGCCTCCTGCTGCTGCAGTGTCCTCCCCGCCTCCCAGTGCAGCCCCCAGGGGTTGCTCTGCAGGAAAAGACCCCCAGTCCCAGCGGCGGGAGGTCCCTGGGACCGAGAACGCCCTGCAGGCGCATCCCCTTGGAGCCCAGGCTGGGCAGGAGGGGCTGTGACACGAGTTAAATGACCACCCAGGGAAGTGACTGTGCCGACCACCCGCTCCCCAGCAGCAGGCACTGAGCCAGGAGCCGGAAGGGGTCATGTCACATGACCTCGTGCCTTGATGCGGGGTGAGTGTGCACTCACAGAGGGGTTAGGCCCAAGCCAGGTCCCCAGGGAGGGGCAGGGCCAGGCTTCCAAGCCCCAGCCTTGCTGCCTCTGGGGCCCATCTCTGAAACCCAGGCCCCTGGGCAGTGCAGACCCTCACCTGCATTGCCCTCCACAAAGGCCCCCAGGAGGAACTTGTACTTCTCCTCCTCACCGGCCATCTGGAAGGAACTGTACTTGGCAAACTGGTAGTTGCCCTGGAAGTCCACCAGGTCCACACGGAGCTCACTGGGGCCTGGGCAAGGGTGTGAGGTCTCAACTCAAGGCCGTTTGGCCGCCAGGTGTGGGTTGGGGCGGGTGGGGGCGGGCTTCTGGAGGGAGGTCTGAGGGGGCAGCCAGGCAGTTGGAGACCACCCGCAGCTCCGCGGGAGAAAGACGGGGCTCTTGACTCCCCTGGGCAGTGACAGCCGGGGAAGCCCGCAGCGGGCGGCGCTGCGTCAACGCCGCCGGCTCGAAGGCTGTGAGTTTGTTTCACATTTATGTGAGTGAACACCTCGCGGATGATAGGAGTTTTGAAACATCTCCCTCTCCTGGAATGGCCGCTGCGGGGGGAGGGGGGCGCCCCCTCCCCTGCACCAGGTGTGAGAGCCCCACCCCGCCCCCTTCCCTTCTCAGGAGGAATGGAAGCACGTGAGGGGGTTCCTTCCCAGTGACCCGGAGCTTCGTAGTGGGGACAAATGTACCGTGCGTTTGGAGCCTTCCCCAGGGCAGACAGGCAGCTGAAGGTGAGTGGAGTCGGGGTGGGGACTTTGCCCTCGGGGTGGGTGTTCCTGGGTGGGGTCTCCCACCAGTTCTGAGGCAGGAGAGGCTGGGGAGGGCCTGTCACTACCCTCCAGTGGGTTCTGTGACCCATTTGGGGCCTCAGAGGACAGAGTAGACCTGGGTTTCAAAGGCTGCAAATCTCTGGGAGCAGACAGCCTCAACTTTCCACCACAGAGCGGCGGGTGAGTTTGGACTGGTAACACCATACACCCCAAGGGTCCCTGGGGAGGGTCTGCGGTGTGAGGAAGAGCAGTGGGGGGACATGGGGTGGGGAGCCCTTACTCTCTGGCCCCAAGGTGCTCAGGGCGTTGGGACTGGAAGAAGTCTCCGCCCATGACCCCATGCCCTTGGTCCTCCTGCTCTGAGAGCCCAAGGCAGGGCCCACACACTTCACAGTGACGGCATGGGTGTCACCCATACTCAGGAGGGGGGGCTGGTGGGGGTCGGGCAGTGCGGACCGCAGAGCCTCACCCTGGGCTGTCAGGGCGTGAATGTTGTCATTGCCCAGCCAGAACTCTCCCAGCTGGCTGCCGAAGCCCTGCTTGTACTCAGCCCAGTCCCGGAAGAAGTTCACAGAGCCGTCAATCCTCCGTTGGAAGACCTGGGGGCAGAGGGGCTCGGGCAGAGGGCCGCCGGGCTCTGGACTCTCAGCCCCAGGCATGGCCCTGACCCAGCGAGCGAACGACACGGCTCACAGCGTCACCAGCCCCCACGTGACCTCAGCACAACCCAGATGGTCAGCAGCTCCTTGGATCACCAACTCCGAGAGAGATGGCGCTGGGGGCCCCCACCCCAGGCCTGGGTCCCTCACAGGGTGACCGCACCCTACCATCCGAGAGTACAGGGAGGGACTGTGCGCAGGGAGTGAGGACGTGGGGGAAACTGCGTGCAGCCCAGAGTGGGAGACCATCAGGAGGGGCGTCCCAGGCAGCCTCTCCCACCCTATGACCCAGCACTCACGGTCCAGCCCCCTCCATCCGTGTGCATGTCACACAGCACCGTCAGGGGCCGGCAGTCGGGGAGGAAGATGGTGTGCCAGCCACTCAGCGTGTGTCCCCGGGTCAGCATCTCCTTGCAGCTCCGAGGTCCTGGGGGAAGCAGGCACTGGGCTCCAGGACGGGGGCTGGGCAGTGGGTTGGACAGAGGGCATGGAGGCAGGGGCCCTGCTCAGGACAGAGAAGGGAGTGTGTGTGCGAGTGTGCAAGTGTGAGTGTGTGTGTGTGTGTGTGAGTGAGTGTATGTGTGCATGTGACCGTGTATGAATATGAGTGTGTGACAGTTTGTGTGTGATTCTGTGTGTGTGAGTGAGCGAGTGAGTGTGAGAGAGTGTGTATGTGTGTGAGCGAGTGTGTGAATGTGTGTGTATGTGTGTGAGTGTGTGTGCGTGCCTGTGTGCACATGTGAGGGTGAACATATATAAGAGGGCATCAAAGAGGTGAAGGAATGGCATCTTCCCAAGAACTTTCAGGAGCGACTCTCTTGTCCAGCAGTGCTGTTTGAAAGCTTGGCTGAAGTGGGAGGAGGGCCGGGCAGACGCTCTGGGCTGAAGAGGGGTAGGGCTGGGTTCTGCCTGGGTCTGAAGGCAGGCAAGGAGGGGTGGGGCTGTCACCCACCTGTGTGGCATCCCTGAGGCTCCCCGGACCCTCCTGGGGTGAGGGAGGAGAGAGAAAACACACATCAGGTCATGTGTGCGCAATGTGCCCCTTGTCCTCATCCTGGACTGGGAAGCGTGGCCCTTATCCAGGAGCTTCCAGCATGAAGGGGACCCAGAAAAGACAGCTCTGGCCCTGAAGCCCCCATGGGCTCAGAACCTGCCATCTCCATGGGGACACTTTCTTTTCCTGCACCAGTGGGACTGAGCAGGTCTCACCGTGGCCTGAGAAGTCACCACACCTGTACGCGTCACCATCTCACACACACCTGTGGCTGAGTGTGCAGGTCTGGAATGGGCTGGGGAGGTAAGCCAGCAGCCCTGTCCTGACCCCCACACCATGGCCACCTCAGAGGGGAAGTCTTGCCCAAGGTCCACCCCGAGTCCAGGTCTGGCTTCTTGTTGGACATGACCTGCACAGCGGCTCCCACGGGACAACTCACCTATCGCTCCAGGGGCTCCTTTCTGTCCTTGGGCTCCTGGGAAAGGAGAGAGGGTCAGCGGGGCCGTATATTCCCGTGGAGAGCGTCAGGCCACTCTGGATGGGGTCACCCACTCTGCCACTCCTGCCACCCCCAGAAACCACCTCTGGGCTGCCGTTGGCTACGCCAGAGCCCCTGGGCCTGACCCGGGACCTGTCTGGGTAGTGTGGGCTCTCCAGAAAGACAACGTCCCAGTCCCTAGCCCCATGCCACATCTTCTCTGCAGTGGGCCAGGGGCTCCCTCTTTGCCACGGTCTTACCTTTGGGCCCAGGTGGTCCTGCTTTCCCAGGGGCTCCTGGGGGGCCACGTTCTCCTGAAAATTCCAAACACACATCACGTAGACAAGCTGCCAACCTGTTGGCCTTGCTAGTCACCGAGGCGCTGATTCGGTGCAAGGGCACAGAGGCGGCCCCACTCCTCCATCCAGGAGGCCCAGGCCGGTCCACTCTGTCCACACCCGGAGCTGGAGCTGCACCCTTCCTCCCTCAGTCCTTGCTCTGGGTAAACCCGCCAACCACTCGGCAGGCCTGGTCTGCCCCTCTCAAGCAGAGGATGCCAGAACCCGGGTCTGTGGTGCTCCGGACCCCAGCCTGCTGTCAGCCAGGTGGCCTTGGCCCAGCCCTGACGGGTCAGAGGCCAGGGGAGTTGGCCTCAGCTCGGGGCAGGCAGAGGGACAGGGCCTGGGTCCTGCTCAGGGCCGATGCACCTCACTGCTTGAAGGACCAAGGGAGGCTGGATCCAGTTCCTTATCCTCTGTGCGCTCAGCACAAGACATAAGGGACAGTGTCCCCACCCAAGGGTCCGCCACCCACAGGCCTGAGAACAGACCCTGAGCCCAACTCCTTAGAATGTGGGAGCCCTGGGAACCTCCAAATGCACGTGCCCTGTCCCTACGGTGGCGTTCTGGTTCTGCCAATGCCCCGTGAATACTCCCAGGTACAGGGAGCTCACCCCTGTGCAAGGCAGGGCTGGCTGAGCCTTTACCTCAAGCTCAAGCAGCAGAAACCCCCGCCCCCACCCCACCCCCATGCTATTTCAGGGGGAAAGCCACGGGAGCACAGATCTCAGCTGCTTGGGTGGGACTTGGGGATTCGGGGTTCAAACGTCCTGTTTGTCCCTCAGCAGTGTGGGGGCTGAGGGACCTTTCTGACCTCTCTGAGGCCAGTATGTAGGGGCAACATGGCGCTGGGCAGAGTCTGGCCCAGAGTCACACGCAGCTGGGTTCCAGGCCAGGACCGGGTTGTGGCATTCCTGAGCGTGGTCTGCCACGTGGCTGAGAGATTGGCCTGCTCCCCAGGGCCAGCCCGACCCTCCACCGGGCCCTGGCCCTAGTCTCCTGAGTTGACACTGAGGGGGTCAGGATTGAAGCCACCTCAGGCCCACCCTTGCAGGAAGGGCAAGTCAGAGCCCCCCTCACCTCCCCACCCCTACTGATGCCCACCCTGGCCAGCCAGGGACATACCTCTCTCTCCATTGGCGCCAGCCTCTCCCTTGGGCCCTGGGGCTCCGGGCACCCCTGGGCACCCTCTGAGAATGCTGAGTTTGTCCGAGCCTTCCAGGCCCACCACCTTCACCTCTGCAGGAGGACACAGGGGCATCACCAGGTGTGTCCTGGCCGGGAAGGCCCTCAGGGCTGACAGGCCGCCCTCCAACCCTGGGACAGCTGCCAGGGTGGCCGTTCAGCCTCTGTCTGTGGGGGTCAGCCGGGAGTGGGGGTCCCTGCTGTGGTGGCGCCTTGGTATCTGCTCTCTCTCCCTGGGGGGCTGGCCAGTGACGGCCTGAGCGAGCACCCAGCTCCCTGGTCACTCAGCCCTCACGGCCTTGGCCCTCACGGCCCTCAAGTGAGTCTGACTCCCAGTGACCCTGCAGGACGTTGTAGGACTGCCCTGTAGGCCTGTTCGGAAGGAACTGCCAATGGCTCTCTGAGGCTGTCACCGGACTGCCCCCTGCTCCGTGGAGGGGGTGGGAGTGGGGTCCACCTCACAGGGACAGACAGGCCAACATCTGTCCCTTTAACCCACATTGAGGAAGGCATGGGACAGGGTCCTCGGGGCAGAGCTTTGTCCAGGGCTGCTGGCAAGGCCACGGCAGCCCTCGCAGGAGAGCATGCGCTGCTAGTCCCTTTCATCTGGAACTCACGCTAACTTAGGTAGTTTATCCAATTTTCACATGGATTGGAAGTCAACTTGCCAATAATAAACATCTCTGATGGGGCCACCGGCCACTGGGCGTGTGGGGTCCGCAGGATATCTCCTCCCTAACTCAGTTCCATTCCCGTCTCAGTTAAACTAAGGACTCCTCACCACCCAACCATAAAAGGCATCCTGGGGCACTAAGCTGGCTGCTGACAGAAAGGTCGGCGGTTCAACCCCCCCAGCTGCCCTGCAGGAGGACGACTGGGCACTCAGCCTACTTTCCTGAGGGTCCTGCAGCCTTGGAAACCCGACCCGCAATGCCCTGTAAGTCGACATGACATGGGACTGGCTCCGCACGCAGTAGGCTTGATTTGGGGCCAGGCCACTCCTCAGCGTGTCCCTGCACTCCTGGACCCTCGGGGCATTGGGAAGTGGCCCCTCATTCTAAGGCATGACTGTGGTCAAGACATCCCTGGGGCAGATTCTCTGGGGGAGGAGAGAGGGGGACCTCTTTGTGGGACGGCCGTGGGGCTGGGTCACCTGATGGGGAGTCCTGGGGGATAAGGCCTGAACCCCAGGCACACAGTGCCATCCTGCCCTCTGCAGCCCAGATCTGGGAGGGTCCCCCTTCCCTGAGAGCACATCCTGCTCAGCCTGTGTCCCATGGAAAGGCTCCTTGGCTTGTGACCCCACATGGGTGACAACTGTGGGCTGAAGTCTTCCAGCTGCCACCTCCTCACACCACCCTGGACATGGGCTGTCATGACTGCCCCTCCCAGAGCCCAGGCCAAGAGTCTTGCCAATGGTCATGCTAACCGAGAGCGGGGTGCCAAGGTCCACCCAGCAAGGCCAGGCAGTCTGCTTCGGCAGAGCCTGCAGAGCGCAGCCGACATACAGCGTCACGCAAGGCCCAGTCAATGGGCTAGCCAGCGGCCGACCAAGGACAAGGACCCGAGGCTCCAGAGGACACACCGAGAGCTCAGAACCCGTCCTGTCTTCTTGCCTCCAGGTAAGGCTGCACCTGCTCCTGGGAGCCCCCTTCTTAATCCATGATGGATAATGTGGGGCGGGAGCAGTGGAGAAAACGAAGGGAGGCGCCCTCACAAGACAGCCGGGAGCTGACGTCAGCTGACGGGCTGAGGGCCTGCTCACCTGAGTGCCGACTCACCTGGGCAGTTGTCCGCGGCCTCAGAGGCCAGGATGCACAAGACGGCCACAAGCAGGACGGTGGGACCCATGGCCGGGGCACGGCTGGCTCTGCAGCTCTGGTCTGGTCTCTGCTGCAGAGAGGACGCCGTGCTCCCACTTTTAGGTGGGACAGCTGACTGCCACCTCCACGCGGACGTCTCGTTTCCGGTGGGAACAGCCCCTTCCTCCCCTCGGAGTTCCAGGCAACCTTGGAGCACGACCCTTCCCTGCTCCCCTCTCGCTTCCTCCTGGTTTGCTTCACTTCCCCTCCGCGAGAACACTTTCTTCCCACCCGCGGGGACCCACCCTGGGGTGTGCCTTCAGGAAAAGCCTTGCCCTGGAGTGCCCTGAGATCCTGGCATGCCGAGCTCAGCACGCTGGCCCCCTTTCTATGCAGAGAAGGGCCTTGGGCCTACAGAAGCCTGGAACCTTCCACTGGAGGCCTAGTCTGTGGGTGGAGAGATCCCTGGGCTGCAGGGCAGGGGTGGGTGGGAACACCTGTGGACACGCAGGGGGTTGCTTGTAGACCATCCAGTCGGCTCTGCCCCCCCACCCCCACCCCATGCACAGCAGAAGGAGACCGCGCCCTGTGCCACGCCGTCCTCACAGCAGCTCTTGTCTGTGCCCGAGCCCGTCGAGGCAGCCACTGCGCGAATCCAGCTTCCCTCGGGAGGATTCGAGGACCAGTTCAGGGGAAGGACCGAAACGTAAAGTCCTGTGACCAGCCACAGCTCAAGGTCCGGTCATTGTGAGGGGCTTTTCCAGGTCCCCCTTGGGTCCTGTGTAAGGTGGGTGGGATGTGTAAGGAACACTAGCTAGTGGACGCCCTCAGCCCTCAGAAGGAGGAGCCCGTCTGCTCCTGTCCAGAGTGACAGTCTTGGAACCCCACATCAACTCGATGGCAGGGAGGGTCTTGTGTGGGAGGGGTGGGGTGGCGGGGGGCTCTTTGAAACCACCGGCTGCTCCTCAGGGAGCCAGACGGGGCTTCCTATTTCCGGGAAACGTCACTGTCTCAGGAGCCCACAGGATCCGCTCTCCTCTGTCTTCAGGGGGTGGCTGTGCGTCAGAATCGACCCGCTGGCGCAGGGTCAGCTGCACGCGTGTCCAGCAGGTGTCTCAGCTACTCTGATGGGTCGAGGGGCGAGGAGGACAGAGAGAAGCAGACACAAAGTCCCCAGCTTGTGTGTTTCTCCACCCTGTCACAGGCTGAGGGGGGTGCTCCTGACGGGGTACCTGTGCCCCTATATTCTAGTCGACCCAGGGAGTGGGGGACCCCCAGGACTCTGTCTGTAAAAGGAGAGGCCCCTCCCTCTGCTCACACCATGAAAGCCTCTGCCCATCTGGAGAAGCCGAGTGATAGAGCCTCCCACATAGCCCGGAAAAGAGGAGGCAGGGGGTTGGGAGACACGGGACCTGGGCTCAGCTACCTGGAGAGCATACCTGTCCAGGCTGTGGTCTGCCTGGTGTATACTTTCCCGTCTGTCTGTCCCTTTGCATCCTGTCTGTGTCTTCATTGTGCCCGGCTCACCACGAGTGGACGGCAGTGACCGGGTCTGTACAGGACATTCCTCGTAAACAGCATGGCGCCAAGACCTGCCTCTCTCAAAGAGGCCGCTTGCAGGACCCCTGCCTTTTGAATGTGCAGTGTTGGGTTGGCTTATGTTGAGTGCGATCGTGGTTGTGGTTGTGTCCAGTGGGCCAGCTTGTTACCTGTCTTCCACGCCCCCTTCCTCTTCGGAGCCCAGGACGTAGCACCGAAGCCTTCCCTGCTCGCCTGGCGGGTGGTGTGCAAACCCACCAGTGGCTCCGGGGAGGAGGGTGTGGGTGCTTCAGTGATGATTACAGACTGGGGGCTGTGGGGCAGGTTCACTCTGCCCCATAAGGTCGCTCTGACGTGGACTCGACGCCACTGGATTTTTGTCCCCATATGTGGCAGTGACATCATTGGTCTCAACCTGTGGAGGGGTGGAGTCTAGCCTGTCAATCAGGTGGCCGCAGCTGGAGGCCCGCCTGAGATAAAGAGCTCCCTGGAGGCCAGATGCCCAGAGACCTTCTGCTTGTCTTCCTGCTGACAAGCCACAGGGAGACGACCCCTGATGGAACCAGAGCCCTGGAGCTCAGACCCATGTCAGCGCTGAGATGCTTCCACCACCACTGGATCCACAAGACTTTCCACCCACTGGCCTGTGATCTTCCTGCATTCG